GAATGAGAGGGTTGTTACATTACTCATATAATGAAATTATTGCATTGGTCTGTTGATTGATCTAGGAGTTAAAACTTTTCAATTACTGACCCTATAATCTTCGATTCAATCTTCATTTTCTTAGAGAATGTGAGAATTTGAACTTCTAAAGAGACCTTGAGTTAACTTAAGAAGATCAGGATGTTTTTAATTGGATTAGGTATAATTTGAGATCAAACTTAAAAAGACCACATTTAAACAAACATGTCAGATCAGACTTTGACTCTTGTAAAATACACATAAAACAGACATCTACTATCAAATCGGACAAGATCAAACTAGAAAAAGTTAGTTCAATTAATTAAAAACGTCATTTTCTTAGAGAATGTGTGAATTTGAACTTCTAAAGAGACCTTGAGTTAACTTAAGATTAGGATGTTTTTAATTGGATTAGGTATAATTCGAGATCAAATTAAACTTAAAAAGATCACATTTAAACAAGCATGTCAGACCAGACTTTGACTCTTGTAAAATACACATAAAACAGACATCTACTAGCAAATCGGACAAGATCAAACTAGAAAAAGTTAGTCCAATTAATTAAAAACGTCATTTTCTTAGAGAACGTGTGAATTTGAACTTCTAAAGAGACCTTGAGTTAACTTAAGATTAGAATGTTTTTAATTGGATTAGGTATAATTCGAGATCAAACTTAAAAAGACCACATTTAAACAAGCATGTCAGACCAGACTTTGACTCTTGTAAAATACACATAAAACAGACATCTACTAGCAAATCGGACCGGATCAAACTAGAAAAAGTTAGTCTAATTAAGTAAAAACGTCTTAATCTACCGGTTCAAAACTTACTTAGCGACTGACAATTTACTTTCTCCAAGGTTAAGGCTTGTTCTTGAGATTCTACATTTGATAGATATTCCTAAATAATTAATGTTAATCGGTTACATAATCTATTGATGTGTTACTAGTTCAATAACATTCGGTAGTGCATGCGCAAATATAGTTTTTAAGTTTAAACGAGAAAGTAAAGGGCATTCCTAACATGAATTGTAACGAGTTCAATAAGATTTCCATTTTTTTTAACAAGAACAAGACCGCTTTATATTGATATCAAAGCATTCAGCAAGAGAACAAGAAAATAAAAAGACCATTTCCAACCACCGACTCTCGAACCAAATTTAGAGCCAATCACCCAGAATAAAGCAATATGGTTCGTTGATCTTGTAATGGGTCTAAATGAGCCTAACGTGGTTAGAGTAAACCTCTCACCACTCCAACCTAATGCAAGAGTCTGGCAAAAATAAACGTACATCACTAACAAAACAGCATAAAAAACAAAGAAAGAACACAACCAAGCTAAATCAAAAGTAGAGATAGTCTTCTAAACCCTAGTCGCGAGACCTCCGCCACCGGCAAAGCACTTGGATTTTACCGTGCTTCACAAACCTCTGCAAATTCGGCTGCGGATGCTCATCTTTTATTGTTCTTCGGTCGTCGGGGACGCCGCAGGGACTAGCCGAGCCAGGTGACCTGACTACCTGAGCCACCGCCGGAAAAAGTCCTAGGAAGATCCTAGAGACGACTACAGATTCTTTGTTGCTAATTTAGCTCTCGAACACCCTGCCTTCCTTCAGCGCATCCCCTACTCGTAAGCCGCTGATCTCCTCTCAACCCTTCCCAGACGATCGAAACTGTCTATTTCCCTTCTAGGTCGCCGATCGAAACAAAAATTTAATAAGATTTCCATAATAATTTGAATGTCCTCACTTTGAATTAATGAGAAATCTATATATTAAAAAATACTTGTCTTCTTGTTAAAAAACGTCGTAAAACAATTCCACGAGTTTCATTTATTATATATTTAAGTCGATTTGAGCTAATTGAAGAAGAACTATTAAGCCCGGTGAACAGAGGCGGCTTGAGCAATTCGGAGGCCCCAGACGAAAAATATTTACTACGTACATATCACTTTTAAAATCAGATAAATTAAATAAAAACCGTCTTATGAAAAAAAGCATATTCAAATTGCATTCACTACCGGACAACTTTAGTGCTTGTGTAGTTGTGTACTTGTGTGCACTATGCGGTTACTTTGCTTTATAATTTTAGATTTAATTATCTATCTTTATAAACTGCTCCGTATAATTTAGACTTCATGCATGTATTTCATGATTTTATTGACTAAAATGTCTAAATTTGAGAAAAAGAAATAAGATAGATACAATGTACGAACTTACGGAGTATTAAGAGATTTCGAGAATGAGACTCAGAGAGAAGAACTGAAGAGTCTTAGTTGATTCACGATTCAAGTTTCGTGTACAGTAGCCGATTAGCTATCTGTGTTGGACGTTGATAAGTTCGTATTTCGACACGCATTTGATTCGTGTTGAGATCGGCTTTTGATAGTCTTTTCCTAACTTTAAGGTGTCATAAGTCTCAATTTTAAGCTCAAGTCATATTTACCGGACGTTGGTTCGAGTTTTGGTATTTTTGGAGTCAAAATCGGGGAGTTTGAGCCCGGCACCGATATTTGAGAAGCAATAGGGACGAGTTGAGAAGCATTTGAGAGTTGATTATGAGCATTGGAGGTCAGTGAGGTGTTAAAGACGAAGTTTTGAAGACAAAAGAGCTCTAGAATTGGCTACGGGATCAAAAGAAAACGAATAGAGCTTGAAAACAGCGGTTGCCCTTGGCAGTTGAGGCCCAAGGTAGTTGCCTGACCCAACTGCCCTCAAATCCGCCCCTGCCGGTGAATATCATGTTAAATCTCGAGCTTTTACATGAAATGAGAAAAAAAGAAAAAAAGAAAGTTGGATATAAAAGTCATAAAAAAGGTCTGCGAAAAAAACTATAAAAGTCATAAAAAAATAAATCAGAAATCACTAACTGATTAAGGTCTGCGAAAAAAATGGTGAAACAATATTTTTTTTACTATGAAAATTCATAACTTTTTATTATTTTTCAAAATTCATAACTTTTTATTATTTTTCATATGACACCAGTATTGAATATTATACACACGAAAAATATTTTAACAATTTTTAAATGTTACTACGTATATCTTTTTTATTTGTACTCCGATTGTTACAAAAAATATACTAAAATTTATAACTTTTTGTTATCTTTCATAAGACACTAATTTTGAATATACCAAAATTAAAAATCTATTTTAATAATTTGTTCTGTTTAGAATCGTTTTAGATAGATCAGGTCTGGTCTGTCTAAGTCTGGTCTAATCAGATCTGGGACGAACGTTTTAAATAGATCAGGTCTGGTATGCTCAGATGAGATCTGGGAAGGAAAACGACCCAAAAGAAACATCCTAAAACTGTACGAGGAGTAAAACAAGAGTATGTGCAATTTTATTTAAGCGATTACTCCGAATAAATGTGTGCACCGTAAAAAACGATTCTAAAATGCACAAATTAATATAATTGATTTTTAATTTTTGTATATTCGAAATTAGTGCCTTATGAAAGATAACAAAAAGTTATGAATTTAAAAATATTTTTTGTAACAATCGGAATACAAATAAAAAAGATATACCAGTAACATTTAAAAAATGTTGAAATATTTTTTCGTTAGAAATTCAATATTGGTGTCATATGAAAGATAATAAAAAGTTACTCCCTCCGTCCCCTTTTAAATGTCTCATTTTACCATATTGGGATGTCCCTATTTAATTGTCCCATACCTTATTTGGTAAAGTTTTTGTGGCTCAAAATCATTCTTACTTTATTCTTACTTTATTCTTACTTTATCTATTAATATCAACCACACAAACCTACTTTTCTTAAAACTCGTGTCACCCTCTTCCGGGACATTTAAAAGGGGACGGAGGGAGTATGAATTTTCATATGTTTCTTGTAATGATCAAAATACAAATAAAAAAGTTAAATCACTTTGAAATATAAATAGGATTTTTATTTTTGTGGGGCCTATCTCATTTGTTCCTTTGACTTGCAGCGTGCTTCAGTCATTCTCGTAAGCCGCCACTTAAGTGGAGCACTATTTTGAAAAATAGTTTTAACTTAACCCTATTTTGGTAAATATTTTTTTATTTGACATTATTTTGGAAAAAAACTCCTAAAAAGGAAAAACGACATATGAAACTATTTTAAGAGATCAATAAAAAATCATTTAATGTTTTGCTAAGAAAAAGAAAAATAAGAAACAAAAAAAAACCAATAAAAGATGATGACGTACAAAAATGAAATTATTTCCATACTATAGTTAGGTGAAACTATCTTGAAACTAGCGAAAAAAAGTGTCTTTTAGTTTCTAATTCCCTTCTAATTTGTTAATGCATTAGTAAATAAAATATACTCCGTAATCAAAGTAATGTAGGAATATTGAAGCCCATTTCGTAGCTCCAAATTTCACTTTATCAGCCTTATCATTCAATTGTTTTTACTACACATAACTTTTTATTTTGCTTACTAAATTATGTAAAAATAATAAATAAAATAAATAAATACTATCCTCCATTTTTTAATTCTTGCAACAATTAGACTTTGCCGTTTACCAACGCACAATTTGGACTGTAATTATATTTAATTATGTATTAGTAAAAATTATAAAAGATTGATATTTCAGAAATTCACATTGATAGGAATTCAATAACATTTTATACGTAATAATTTGATTATGTATATTAGTAGAAAATCGTGGACAAAGTAAGATCTGTAAACAGTGCAAAAATCACAATGTTGCAAGAATTAAAGAACGGAGGAAGAAGTACATAAATAAATAAATAAATAAATAAATAAATAAATAAATAAGAGTAAATAAATAAATAAATAAAATAATTAATAAATAAATAAGGTAAAAATTACTTTTCTGCAGAAATTACTACATAGTCATTTTAGCAATTATATATGTGTGTGTGTATTTTCTTTATTTTATTAGTAAAATATTTTTTAAATATAAGTTTTCCATAATTCAACAGAATTCAACCATTTCAACCCTAATATCACCAATTTCAATAGATTCAACCAATTCAACCAATTTCAATATTATCAAAACAATTTCAACCAAATATTATTGTGTTTATATTGAATCTTCAATGGAACTAAAATTGCTCTATTGGTTTACAACATCACAATCCTTAACCCCTTCACATAGCAGATTTATGCCTCAAAAGCTCAATTGCAGTTTAACAAGCACACATGATGGGCCAACCAAATAACCCACAAAATGAATCAAACTTTAATATTTTCAATCTTTCTGAGATCCAGCCATCTTGGTGTCGGATTGGTAATATACAACATCCCCAGTATCACTCACAAAGTGATCTTTCTGCATGCTTCTAAAGAGTTCTCCCAATAAATGGAACGGAAGGGGCCAAGATTTCTTTGGCTCCTTATAATACTTCCCTAGCACAGGCTTTGCTGCTTCCGTCTGCAAATTATGAGCTCATTTGGTAAAACATAAAATGATTCCATTGGCTCAAAATGTTATATAAATAGTTGGGTTTCCTTCTAAAAGGAGTAGTCTTTCAAATATAATATATAGGTTTACTATTATATATTTTGCTGGTGTGGAACTTATACTCAAACTGAGTTGAACAATTTGAGCCTTTGAGGGTGGTGAATAAAGGGAATAAAGATTCTAAACGGCTTCCACTATGGAGTGAAACCATGAATACCAAACCGACAATAAATCCACAACTAAATCTAACAATGAAGTCATATTATGACTTTGGAGTTCTAGTATAAAAGTTAATGCTATCAAGTTTAACTTAATAGCAAGAAGTCATAATAAGACATAGGGTTCTATTTGGGACTCTAATGTCAGAGTTTACCATAATAAGAGAAAGTAGTCATGATCTTATATATTATCACTGTGGATCAAACACACTTTAACATGATCATTTTATACTTTTTCAGTCATTGGTTTTTATTTTCGAAACGTAGACAAGCAAACAATTTGGCGTTTAGTGAAAGTCAAATAGATAACACACAAAAATGCCAAGCAAACCATTAACAAATTCTTTTACTGCAATAAATACAATCTGATGTAAAGAAGTTGATTGAAATGAAATGCTTACAGCTTCAATTAAATGATAATGAGGGATTTGGGGGAAAAGGTGATGCACCACATGTGTCCCTATGTCATGATGTATGTTGTTAATCCATCCATAATCACGATCAAGAGTAGTAAGCCCGCCCCGTAGGTAACTCCATTCCTGTTTAGCCATAAATAAAAAATTGAAGATCCCTCAAAAAATACACATCGTTTAAGCATAGCTGACTCATCTTTAGGTCTTATTACCTCTTTCAATTAAAGCTTAGGTGCTTTTTCACAGTTTGGTCTGTATATATGGTCAACTTAAGCCTGAGCTAGAATTTCTACAATAGGCTAGAGTCTGTGGTTTTGTTGGCTAAACTTTCGTAAATAGAAAGAGCCGAAAGAATTGTCCAAAATTTCTCTTAACAAAAACTACTCGTGTGTCCTATTTATCTCTCCGTTTTATTTAAAGAACACACAAAGAAATTAGTATGACTCTTACATTAATGATATTGCTTTTTGTGTTCCTATTACGTTGTGTTCCCAATCCTTTATCCATATTATCCAATGCACTTATATATTATTCTCCTTGAGGTAAGATTGGAAATGTGTAATTGATGATTTATTAATTAATGATCTAATGTTCAATTGTTCATCTTTTAAACATTACTTCCTTGATTCCAACAAGTTAGGGTACCGGCATTCAATTTATGGTTCGCAATAATCCCTTAAAATTAACCAACACCTAGGAAGCACGGAAACGTCATTCTACTCCAAGTTTCCGTTTCTGAAACGTTTTTGGAAACGGGAAACGTTCGGAAACGCCAGGAAACGTTTCTGAGGTATTGGGCTTTTGGGCTGGGTATGAGAAACGTTTTCAAACGGTTTTTAATTAAATCGAGGTGTTTCTCATTTCTCATTTTCAAAAAACATATCCTGGAACGGTACTTGCGACTTGCGAGTCCCCAGTCCCCACTCGGCAGCTATTGTCAACGGCAAGAAGAAGTCCGAGTCCAAGTTTCGGACAACGACCAGCTATCAGAATAAATGGGCTATCTAGAATTTACTAATTTATCCTTTTAGATGAGCCCGAATCGGAATTGTCGAGTGCTTTTATCACTGAATTCATTTTATTTATTACGTAGTATATGCATGTAGAAAGGATTATAACAAGGACAAATGATTCATTTATTTTGTATTTTTGGCCATTAACATGACCGCGTATAATGGGTATTTCACTTATTTGTTCTTATTAGTAAAATCTTAATTTTTTGTTCGACGTTTCCTTTCCGTACCCGTATCTTCATATATTAAGATTAGAGTTCCCCATCCCCGTTTCCGTCCCCACTTCCGTTTCTGTCCCAGTGCTACTTAGACCAACACTACAAATAAATTCAAGCATATAAGCGTTAACTGTTAAGACAGTGTTTTGCGCCAAATGTTCTTCCTGTCACTACCTTCATAAAGAGGAATAATGAGATGCAAATCTTATCCTAATTGTCATCGTCATATTACTACGTAACAATAAAAGATCTGATTTTTAATCATTCTAGTTGGTCAACTTTTTAAGTCATTCTAAAAATACATTCAAGCACTCCTAGGCAAATTTTGCCTCAAAAGGGAATGGATATATACACTACTTAAGTTATTCTTCCTTCTTTTGTTGACTAAATGTCCAACGAAAAATCATTTATGACCAAAGCATTACGATTTTGGAGTTGAAATCGCATACCTTTCCACGATACCATGGAAGCTTGTCTTCATGTCCATGGTGATGTAAGTATGTAACTAAATCTAACCACATAACAAAAAGCTACACCAGACAAAAAAAAAAAAATTAAAAAACTGTGACAACGTGAAAAGATGATAAAGAAACAAATGGCTATGCTTAACTAACCACATATGGAACTCCATACAGCTTGAGCACTTGGACGGGCCCCATCACAAATGACAAACAAGCAAGCATAGCAGCCATGGCTGACCAACATAAGGTTGAGGTAATCACATCATTCTTCTCAGTTGGAACAAACAAATCGCTGTTTGGGTCAAAATGCGACCCTTTTTTCCCAGGGCTTCTGCTCCACTAGATCAAACCAATTCAAAAAGTCAACAAATTCAACAAAAGTTAGTTTCATTGAGGAGTGTTTCACATCAGCTAAATATGAAATAAAAAACCCTTCACTGTGTCGGGTTTGAGTTAGGTCCAACATTAATCATAACAGTTAAGCTTGACCATAAAATGAGATGTATACATATAAAGCGATCAGACTAACCAGATAGACTGGGTATGCAAGGAGTGGAAAGGGTAAAGTGAACCTCAACTTCTTTGTGACACTATCAAGACTCTTGAATAGCTTCTCAGAAAGCTGCAATAGAATTATAAGTTAGTAAAATAAACAAAAGGTTAAAATAAATAAATAAATAAAAAAATATAACTACATGTGGAAGTGAACATTTTCAAACACTTACGGGGTGCCACGATTCATCATTCTCAACATGACCATGGTTCTGGTGATGTGTCCTATGGCTAATCCTCCTGTAACATTATCAAAAAATAATTTCCCTAAACTGATGCTTTTTCGGAACTTCAAGAACTCTGAATTAAAATATGTTTTCCCACTTTTCCTATAGGGTCGCATTCCTCCCTATTCGTTGAGATAATACAAATTAGAATTAATACTAGATTTGATGATTTGATTATACACTATCACTCAATTTGGTCCTCAAGTGTGCAATTTAGCCTCTCTTTTTTCATCATGCATACTTCACTCTAATAAAAGTGTAATTTCTATGTTAAGGACTAATTGGGGTTTAAATTTGATATTAACAAAGTTCTGGAAGTATTTACGAAGAAAGCATATCAATACAAATACAAAGGAAGAGTCCAAACAAGGCCAAGCCGGTAAACATGACAACTCTAAAAAATAACCCTAAAGGGAAATTACTTTCTTAAAGATAAATTAAGATAGAAAAACAATACTCCCTTTGTCCCGAATTATGTCTTGTTGGTAAGAACTAAAAAATGAAAGAAGTATGTCCTTTTTGGAATGTCACAACATAAATGTCCTCTTTCCTCTATTCGTAAGCATTATGTAGTTCATATCATTTCAATCTACTATACTCAAACCTCAATACTCAAACCTAATCCAGAACTTTTTACTTTTCAACCAATTCATTAGTAATTTGTATCAAACCCAAACAAGACACATAATTTGGAACATGAGTAATATAAACGGAATATATAGTAACAATATGACTTAGTTCAGGTCCAAAAATGAGCAATTGAGTGTAAATTTAGTAAACTGGCAAACACACCTTTCTTGTTATAGCTAAATCCCTATGCCTTGAACTAAATTAGATTATAATTACATTGCTTAAGAGCAATTTGTGTCCAATAAATGTAGAGTACTAAATTGAGCAAGAGTTTATACTAGATGGAGTATATAAATTATAAAGAATCACTGTATTAATAAATATTAATTTCTATAGATAAGCGCTTGGAAACAAACCATCCATGATAAGGGACGAGGATTGAAGAATGTAGGATATGCCCGACGAAACTATTCAGCTTTGGATCATTTGAAAAGCTTCCATGACCACTGCACATTTTTCATCACAATCATTAGCTATGAAAGAATCCCTAACATATAAAGTGCAAAAATAATCATCTTTAATAAATTCATACCAGTCATGGCCAAGTACAAATAGTGCCCAGAACATGGTTCCTTGGGCAAACCAATACAGAGGCCAAACAAGCCAGTTATTGAAATAAGCAGCCACAGCTGCCAAACCAAACACAACCGCAACATCCCTAACCACATAGCTCATTGACTTCAAAGGGTCCTTCGCCCAACAATGCTTAGGTATGGCTGCCCTAATATCAGACAGCTTGAATGGTGGGGGTGCACCAGGGTCAAAAAAGTCATTCTCATTTATTCCCTCCCTCTTCTCTTCTTCCTCTTCACCCACAGATGCAACTCTAACCGGTGTAATCACTTTCAATGCCCAGTTTCTCTCTCCACTCCCAAACATTGAATTAGAAAAAGAAGAAGAGGAAAGAAAGGTTCTTGAAAAACTTAACCTTGATGGGTTATAAGAATTAGGAGAAATTGAAGAAGTTCTTGGATTAGGGTGAATTTTGGGGAGTGGTCTGAGACCACATTCTGATATCACCCTAATAGCCATTGGAGAGAAAAGTTAGAGTCTTTGACCTCTGGGTGCTCTGAATACAAAAGTAAGAACTGCTATGACTTGAAAGATTTATACGAAAAAAAGGTTCGAACTTAGAAGCCGGTGTGGATGAAGAGATCACACTATGGATTCTATCCTTTACTTGTATGTTGGGAACCCAACTAGTGGGGTTATCTCCTTGCTCCGTCCACTTGTGAAGTGAGTTTTATGACTATCTTCTTCTGTTTATATATGTGGATCTCGTTATTCTCGGAGGTGGGAAAGCTCCCTCCGTCCGTCAAATATCTAAATCCATGTTTCCAATTTTCCACATTACTATTTTGTGAAAAAGAGAAGAAAATAAACCGACGTGAATGGTGTGAGAAAGTTTGTGGCAAAAACAGTCACCTTTCCGACCTCATCAAATTTTCATTGCCTTATTGCCTTTGTGGACTGCCAATATGATATTTTTAGACTTTTGGATCACCCCAATTTTGAGTGGTGTAATTATTTGGTGAGGTCCTTGATTTTAGAATATGCACATGTGATTACATGCTAGAGATAGAACATTGAGATATCAAATTTTCAAACCACCATGATGGGTTGGGACTACTGTGGCCGGTCAATATGACATTCTATCTTCCAAAAGTTAAATCCCAAACGCCTAAGACCTTTGGTAGAATGTAAGTAAGGGTATTCTAATCGGTGACCCCAATGATGATACACCTTTTTCGTGCGCATCAGAAGTCCAGTCCAGCATACTTGAGTTGTAATCTCCATACTTTTGTTGCAAGTTTTGATTCTTGGACAATGTTTCAACTTTCCCATCACTCAATCAACTGAGTTACTCGTGCGAAGTAATACTTTGTAAAAATTAAAGAAAAAGATGCAAATAAGCTCTCGAACAACCCGAAAAGTGCAAATCAACCCTTTTTATATGAGGCTCTGACCGGACGTTGCCATTTGAGGCGGTTCCCGATGGAATTTTTTGATTCAATTTTTTGAGCATCTTCTTCATTAAGTGTAGTTTACTCATACCAAATTTCAGCTAAGAATTCAATGGTGAAGGCAGTCAAAAAAATGTTTGAAGATAAGTGCGTTGTTAAATAGTGCAGTATATTTCAGAAAATCATTTGACTGCCTTTCCGGTTGAATTTTTACCTGAAATTTGGTATGGGTAAACTAGACTTAATGAAGAATATGCTAAAAAAATTATCAAAAAATTCCACCGATAACCTCCCCAAATGGCGACGACCAGACAGAGCCTTCTATAAAATGGATGATTTGCACTTTTTCGATTAGTTCGATGCTTATTTGCACCTTTTCCCAAAATTAAAACATGGTTAAACTCCCAAATACTCTATAGGAGTTAATGTTTTTATACTCCATTCCCTAAACAGAATTAAAAATTGTCGTTCTATTTTTAATAATATAATTAATTCTTCGGTCCATATTGAATTTCACATATGCAACAATTGAGGCTAGAGCACGCACCAAAACATCTCCCCCGTGCGATTTTTTCACTAGCTTTACCTCCAAAGCCGACGCTTCTCTTCCCCTCGTTTCGCCTCCATCACCTCCGCCTCACCTCCCCGGTTTCTCATCGCCCCCGCCTCTCTTCACCAATTTCTCTTCGCTAAGTGGATAGCAGGTAAGTGATTCATGTCTTCTTCTCCTACTCCTCCTCTTCCTCTTCTCTTCAATTTTATTTATTTTATATTAAAAACAAAATACTGTTTTGGATCTGGAAATTTCAAACGAAAAGCGATGTTTAAAGGAACAACCAACGCTCAGGTTTTAATTTGGATTAATTTCATATATGAAAATTGCATGAATGCTAGTTACTAGAAAAAGTGTCACTTTTACGGTATTACGTTATATCACGATGACAATTTTACTTTGAAAGTAGAGTACTTGGAATGTCATATTTTAAAACTTTTAGTGAAATGATGCCATTTTTATGGCAGTCGACGTATAAAGATGACAATAGGATTCCTGATTTTTTTATTTTCTTCTCAGATTTTAAATTTTCATTTTTGATATGATATTCAAATAAATTCTAACGTAACACTACGAATTTTGGACTAAAAAAGCATTTATGCTTCATCTTAATATTGCATGTTTTCACATTTGAAAATGTCATTTTCTATATAATAATTCCATTAATATGTCATTATTATGTATTCTCATTGGAGATCAACAAGGGATTGTCTAGAAAGCGGCGGAGGCTCGTCGAGGGATGGTGTCGGCTCGTTGGAGAAAAGCGACATCAAACTCAATGAAGGGTGTCTTAGGAGGTTGAAAGTCCCTATTTATTCAGCAATCACACACACACACAAAAAGAATATAAAAGATTTAAACTTTTATTTCAATACCAAAATGATATGACGATGAACGAATGAGGCATATGAAACCAGTCACTCTCCCTTCTCTCTAAAATGTCTGAACGTGATTCCTAGCTTAGCCAAACTTACTAATCGACTCAATCGGTGTAGGATACATAGACATATGTGTTTGATATCTCAGTACAGTACAATGGATTGTGAGCTGACGGTTAGAAAAGTCACATACCACTTTATTATTAATAATAAAATAAATACATAATAAATACTAACTGGGTTAACTATAACAACACCCAATAAATAAATTAATACACAAATACAAAGATAGTAAATTCAATTTGATACAATAAAACAATTCCTGACAGATGTCGTCAATATGTTAGTTCTTGGAAAAACTAGGACATGGAACTTCATTAAGGGTATTTTTGTCTTGATAGTATATTTGTAGTCCAATAAACTATGGAAGTCCTATTTTGCACGTATTCAATACTTTAGTCCTATGTATAGAATTTTACCTTGTTTAGTTCACTCACTAATTTTATGGCGGAGTAATATATAGGGAAAATTCCTGAAATAGGAGCAAAAAACATTTTGAAATTTCAAAATACGATTTCATTCTTTTATTCCCTAAATGTGAGTAATTACTGTCAACCTTATAAAATACAGTCATGTTTAAAGTCCGGTAATACCACAATATGACGGTAACTAGTCCTATTTAGATAGTAAAAACATGTCATTCATATTTTGGAATTCACATATGCTTTTACTCTTATTTAGGGGTAAGGGGTGGATCAGGTGCAAGCTGTATTTATTGTGCAAACGTTTGTACAATGCATCTTTATGTTATTTGTATTGCATATTAAGGATCAAAGTGTTGCATAATATTCAGTCATAGAATAGCAGTTGAATATTAACGTTCCAGGAGTTGCATCCTAAAAAAGTTGGCTCTTATTACAAAAATGTCATTGCGCCTTTATCGCCTTCAGATCAACTCATCGGATGACCAAGATGAGTTTGTAGTTTATAAATTAGGAGGTGTTTGTATTGTATCTCTTATAGGGGCAATTTCTTTCATATATATCTCCATGAACAACATCGAGAGAACAAATAAACTCTTACATTCTTTGGAATATTTGAAGACCAAAATTACAGGATTTTTGTTGAACAATTGGTGTTCTCTATAACAAAGTTCATGGACATACATACATATATATATACAATCTTACAACAGTGAATCAAGGTTAAGGTAATTTAGATCAGAAGTTTTAAAGAGCTCGCGATGTGCTCATTAGAGAGCATGCATATCCCACACACGGTAAAAAAATAAGATATAAAAAATAAAAAATAAATGCAAAGTTCTATGAGATCTCAGTATTCAAAAACTATCCTAAACTAACTAATCAAAAGAGAAAAGGAAAACCTTTGCAGCGGCGAGCAAGACGTATGACTGTCGAGCAAGGTAACGGGTGATCAAGGCAGATGACAACCTAGGCAGGGCGGGCGAAGCACACAAAGGCGTGGCTGAGTGATGGCAGAAGGTGAGGTCGTTGTCTACATCATGTTTTGTTTCGCTGGCGTTGCAGCCCATTGTTTAGCCTAGACTTGTCGGAAATCGTTTTTCTATTCCTTGGAATTAATATAATCCAAATTGATTTTTTATTTGTTATTGTTGTGTATGTCTTGTTATATTGTTGCTCTTTCGTGGAGATTGGTTCTCCGGTATGGTTTGTCTCCCTCGGCGTGGGAATACTTTAGTTATCACCGCTGGTTTTGCCTAGTCATAGGGTTTTGTTTGTCTTCTTACGGACAGTGAAGAGTATGACATAGACATCAAGATTGTTTTTTAATCCACATATCACACGACTATTCCAAACGTAGGAAGAAAAATTTATCGTTCACACATATTGTAGTAGTTCGCCCTCCTCTGAAACCCTACCCTTGCGAGGAAGAGATCTGTGGAAGGCTTTACTTAGTATTATTTTTCTTTAGATATACTTGTTTTTATTTTAGTTTGATTAGGCACAATTGAAATATTTGGATAATTGACTAACTTGGGATAGACAGTTCTTCATTTTCAGTTGTTTTAGGCTTACAATTGTCCATCTTATGTGTAAAGAGTCAAATTGTTGTGTATGAGGTGACTTACTCAATGTTTATTCTTAGGGCTTACGATCCGATCTGTAACAATTGTCTATAGGTTTTGTCTTTCATGTTTTCTCTATATTAGTATAAATCGTTAATGATAGAAATCATGTTACGACTTGAAGATTCATTCTAAAAGTTCAACATGATAGAAGGAATAGTTTAAGATCTTAATAAAGCAGTTTATTACTTTCTATTTTACCGGAGTTGGACTTCAATAAGGGTAAACAACTGGCATTCCTTTAATAAAATAAAATTTAGACAAAAATAATGGTTTTATGTGTGCAAGATCAAAAAAATGATTTCAATCTTTACACAAATAATATCAACCTCAATTTCCATGTCATGTTTTTTGGTTGGGAATAGTTTAAACTTTATTAATTCAAATAGTCATTCACCAAATGACTCAAAATACATCTAGGACTAGAGTCAAAATGACAACTACCCGCATGTCACGGTGCTGCCCTAGCAATATTATCGGCTACATTGTTTGCGGATCGTTTACAAAATTGGACAACAAAATCGGCTTTGGAATGAAGTATTTGTCTAATGTCATCAATAATCATTCACAATAAGAATCGTCCACCCATTTCTTGAGTCATGTCGTAAAACATTTTGGGTATCAGTCTATATAATGACCTGATCACATCCTTGATTTTTTGCCCAATTGATTGCTTTCCTAACTCCAATTGCCTTTGTGATCTTTGCTGACCAATCCGCTC